TTGCTAACCCAACTGTTGTACCTGAGTTAACCTTTTCCTCATAGGATTACTGTTAGATGAGTTATATTCTGCCCAGGACTAATCAGGACTGAAATTAAAAATTTGTTACCTCTCTCTCTAAAAAAAAGGTTTCCTAAGGGTACACTGTACCTGCTGTATTGCCAACCAGCACCAAGGAAGGCAGTTTCTGGCACATATTAGATGCTAATATTCACTGACTGCTATATAAGGTCTTCTCTATTTACATGTAATTTGTACCTGTTTTGAAACACCACTGTCACCTTTCAATGAAATGTCTTTCATCTTTGTTTTCTCAAAAGCTACAATCCTCATCCTCACCACTATTTTAGGCAAATTTTGTTCTGAACCTCTCCAAGCTTTAGCTTACTTCTTAAAAAACAACTTAATAGAGTTATGAGATTATATGTACAATGACAGGCCCTTAAAAATATTTTTCATCAGCTCGACTCATAGTATGACTACCTCATTACTTAATGCTTTTCTTAAAAAATGTAGTTTCTGATTAAAGGACCCACAATTTTAGGCCTGCTAGTGCTAGAGGCTATGATTTTACACACATTTTCTAAAACAAAACCAGGATAAAATACATTACATGCAAAATTTAAATTTCTGGTGTTTAAAACATTTTTAAAAAATTAAACCATCTTAAGGAGGATTTTACATTCTTTAAAGCTGACCAACACCTGGCTAATCCATTACTTTAAATTGTTTCACTCTTTAGTAGTTAGCCTTAAAATACAGATGCTGTAGGCTGGGATTGTGGCTCAGTGGTAAAGCACTTGCCTAGCATGTGTGAGGCAGAGTTCAATTCTCAGTACCACATATAAATAAAATAAAATAAAGGCCCATTGACAACTATGAAGTATTTAAAAAAAAAATACAGGTACTACTTTTTCTGTTCCTCAAGATTTAACAGTCCTAGACTACAATAGCTCATTCATTCTTTCACTTTTGTACTCTTACAACCTGTTCACCATAGCATTTCATCACTCCCATGCTCAATTCTCTTTAGTGGCTTCCTATAGCAATTAGAAAAAAAAAAAAATCCAAATATACCCCTCTTACAGTTTTCATATGATCTAGTTCCTTTCTCTTCTAACTCACCTTTTACCACTTTTGTCACTTCTCGAGTTCACTCTATCAAGCCTCTTCTAATTTCCCTCCAAGTTTTTTTTTAATAGGCACTTTTTAAAAAAGCTCGTCTCTGGTTGGAAAAGTCATGCATTAGATTTAACTCTAAAATGGGTGACTCAGAATACCTTCCTAAAGTGGTTCACTTTATATATTTTTAAATTTTACGTTTTTTTAATATTTTTTTTTAGTTTTAAGTGGACAGAATATCTTTATTTTACATTTATGTGGTGCTGAGGATCAAACTCAGTGCCTCAAGCATGCTAGGTGAGCACTCTATGACTGAGCTACAACCCCAGCCCCTACCTTTCCTTCTTTTAATATGAGGCATAGCATTTACAACTACTTCTCCATTATCAAGTAAATGAGCTCAGTGAGACCAAGGGGCCTTGTCAATTGATTCATGTTTCCAATACAACATGAACATACAGGGCTGTTCAACAAACTCTTGGTAAACACTGTTCATGGTTTGTCTTCATTAGAGCAGTGAATAACATGAAAAAGAAATAACAGTGGAATAGCATGTATGATCATGCTGAAATGAACCCCAATATTATGTATAACTGTAATGCACTAATAAAAATTTTTTAAAAATCTAAAAGAAAACAACATATGCCAAAATATTTATAGGACCATCTGTGTGCTGCATCCTTTTGATGTACTTCCTGTAACATGCATATTGTATGCATATATGTGTTTGTGTCCGTCCTTCTGTCCATCCTTCTCAAATGTCTTTGTCTCCCCTTGTGTTTCTATCACATATCATTTTACTTCTTTGACCTGCAAGGGAAAAACTTCAGATTCTTCTTTAACATCACCTATTCCCTCACCAAGACCTAGCCATTTTACCTTCAAATCTTTCAAAGCTGTCAAGTTCTTTGGATTTTTAACACCACCACTCTAGGCTGTCACAGCTCTTGACTAAAATATTGTGACATTCTTCCACCTGGTTTACTCCAGTTCATTAATGAACTCCTTCAACTTCTTTATTCTGTAGTTGAAGTCATTTCAAAATAAATTTTGTCACTCTTTACCTCTTCTTCTCACCTACATGATGGCAAAAACTTTGAACAACTTTCCATTGCTCCTGGAATAATGACCAAACGCCTTGAAGCCACCAAGACCCTCTATTGTCTGTCCCCTGGCTATCTTCTTAAATATGCAGCCATCACCATAAGGCTTACCACAAGGCTTCCATCCTTTTTAATCTGTTTAGGAGCACAGAACCTTGCATAACTTACCATTTATTAATAATACTTAGAACAGTACCCAGAATTTTGAATGAATTGAATGAGCCACTATAAGTAACATTAGCAAGTCTCCTTGCAAAGTGTAATACACACAACGAAGAAAACACTGAATGGAACACATGAGACTTCAAACATTTCTAGGCTGATTAATATAGATCAGAAAAACAGAGATGTTCATTATTAAAGAGGCAGATAGACATAGCTAATTTTCTTAGAAAAAATAACATTATTTTGGAGTTCCTAATTTTAAATTACCTAGTGCCTTCCAAGATGATGCAATCAAACAGATATTTAAAGACACGTTTGTAACAGGGTAGAAAGCAGAAATACACTTGAGTCAACAACATTAACTAACACTTAATAGGGGCCTATTAATGTTGTTTTAGATACTTTATTTTCACTGAATATTATAATCACCCTCATTTTACTAAGGAGGAAACAGGCACAGGAAAAAAGGCACCACTGAAATGATAGAGATGCCATTGGCTGTGTCTTCAAAACCCTGCTCATGGCCTGAGGGTATAGTAGAGTGCCTGCCTAGCATGAACATGGTCCTGGGTTCAATCCCCAGCACTGCAAACAACAACAAAAACACTGCTCTTGACTATAATATACAAGGAATAATTCATTGAATGAATTATATATTGAAGCCAAGGTAGTACCTGGCCTAAACAAAACCATCAAGAAAAGGGGAAAGAAGAGACTATGGGAAGAAGGAATGAGGTTATGGTATAAAAAAAGAAAACAGCTAAAAATCACATATTCAAGGAAGACAACAGCTTTATCAAAATTCTAGAAACAAAGAAAAAAGCAATCAGTTAATGAGACAATTCATAGGCTAGTAATCTTTCTATGAATGTCCAATTCTGAATCTGTATTTACAGTATTTTTCCCAAGTATGTGGTAATGCAAAATGGGCTTTACTTACTGCAGTTCTGAAATACATTACACATTATAATTTATACATGTGCTACATAAATGGATTTGAAGATTTTAGCCCCTACTTTTCAAAAATAGCCAGTAATTTCATTTAGGAGTTGACTCAAAAAAAATTTTTTTAATATTTTTGTTTTAGTTATAGTTGGACACAATACCTTTATTTATTTATTTATATGGGGTGCTGAGGATCGAACTCAGGGCCATGCACGTGCTACGCAAGTGCTTTACCGCTAAGCTACAACCCCAGCCCCAACTCAAAATTTACAATCATTTTGAACAATTACTTTTTTTTGGGGGGGTGGTCAAGGATTGAACTCAGGGGCACTCGACCACTGAACCACATATCTGCAGCCCTATTTTGTATTTTATTTGAGACAGGGTATCACTGATTTGCTAAGTGCCTCACTCTTGCTGAAGCTGGCTTTGAACTCAAGTTCCTCCTGCCTCAGCCTCCCCAGCTGCTGAGATTATAGGCATGCTCCACAGTGCCCAGCAAACAATTACTTTTTAATGTTACTACTTTCTTTGTGAAACTACTGAAACCTACCACAAAGTCTTATGAACACACACACAAAATATAGGGTCTTTACAGACCTGCAGTTAAGCATATTGAATGGCTAATGCTTTCAAATATTTTGCTCCTACAAATCTTCTGGATCTGTTGGGAAAAGAGGCTCAGAGCCTGAGTACTTGCCTAGCATGAGCAGGGTCCTGGGTCCAATCCCCAGCACCACAAAATAATATGCAAGTCAGGCTTGATAATACACACATGTAGTCCTAATATGGGAAGAGCACCTGAACTCAAAAATTCAAAACCAGCCTAGGCAAGATGGCAAGACTGTTTCAAAAACCTAAAAAAATGAAAATAAATAATTTCCTGAATCTAATAACTTGCTTCTTCAAATTTGGATCTATTTTCAAAAGTGTGGGGATACCTTTATCTCCTCTAAAAAATGTTTTTCCATAAAGTTAGATTAATTTACATTTGTATTACAAAATACTTAATTAAGTCTTACTGCCTCCTAAAGATTATTTAAGTAATTCTGATTTTTCTCCAGAACCACCTAGTAAAGATTAATTTAGGAATCTTAAACAGTGTTATGAATATTAGCAGGAAAAGTTTAAACTTTGAAATTACATATGCTTTAGAACCTTATATTTCATTTGAGGCATGACTAAACATGCCTAAATGAGCATTTCTAATATTCTTATATAGCTTATTCTCATTCCTGATCTTAGGCCACACATCCATTATAACAGCCTGGATCCTCTCATCCCTTCTTTCTCACTTTTCCTTCTGAGATATAAGGTAGCAATCCTTTAGAAAACCCAAGGTATCTTTTTTCTTTCTTTCTTTCTTTCTTTTTTTTTTTTTTTGGCCAAATAACTATTTAGTGATGTGCTTTAGATTATTTCTCTTCTTCCTTACTTTCTACTATTATATTGTTTAACTTGTATACCAGCTGTCTAACTCTATTGGCATAGATCTAACAACGTTCAAGTGTTACTTAAATGTTTTGCCTATTTATACATCAAATATCACAAATAATAAGCAGTTGATTTTCAGAATAATTCCTTATTTTTACTTAGGTTGTATGAAATGGAAGTGGGAGAAAATAGTTGGGAACATAAAACTACAGATTAAATTCGGGACATAGATAAGTGCTGCAGACATCAGTAGTTTATTGTTGGTTTAGTCCAAACACATTCAAAATGGAAACTCAAAAAGAATACTTTCCACCCGAAACAATTAAACTAGGTTCTACTAGCATATAATGCTTAACACATTACAGCAATAAAGATGGTAATCCATTGTCTTCTATACCTACTAAAGCCAAGATGGTAAAGCCAATTTGGTTGCAATAGTGTCATAAGAATAGAATATTACCATCAAAAAATAAAATAAAATCAGAAAATAACAGTAATGATAGATGAATATTTTTACTGCTTCACCGAAAAGGGGACAAAATGTTAAAAGTCCACAGTACAGCAGGTGAACAATCACCATGTAAACTTCTCCATATGATGTTTTAATGTTTCATTTCTAGTATGTAAAAACTGAAGCTGAATGGCTCTTTGCTCTACTTTTCTATTACACTTAACATTTGTCATTTCTTTTGGTGCCGGAACAGTTTTTATGGGTTACAGGGCAATATCCTGGATTGGAAATATATATATATATATGTCTATATATATGTGTGTATGTGTGTATATATATATGTGTGTGTGTGTGTGTGTGTGTGTGTGTGTGTGTGTGTGTGTGTGTGTGTATATATACATATATATACATATACATACATATATATATGATGGGAAGGAGAAAGAAGAGGAAAAACATGCTTGGGGGGGAAAAAAAACACTGACAACAGAACCACTTATTTAAAAGTAGTTTGGATAAAGGCTTCAAAACTTCAAAGTAATTTTCTGGTAAGAACTTCAAGTACTATACATTAGAAAGTGTAAAACTGTTTCAAACAAACAAAACAAACAAACAAAAATCCTTAAGCCCACAAAAATGAAAATCTATGTCCCCCAAATATATGCAATAGTGCAAGACTTTTCCTCAAACATGGAAGACCTCATTTAAGGGAGGGGGGGGAGAGAAAGACAAGATTTAATTGTATTCATATTGCCCAGTTCATAAAAAACAAAATACGTGCATCATTTGCTAGTTTACTAAATAGCAAACAGTTGCATAATTCAGAACCAATTTGCTACTATGTCAAGTGCAGATTTTGTTTTTACTAAGATAGAATGGAGAAGTCTTCCATGCCAACAAGCAGCTTTAAGTGGTTACACACTTATTTATCCCACTTTTTGCCTGAAACATCAGAAACTGGTATGTACTGATTGCTCCAAGCATAAAAATTAGATAACCTTGGCCATACTTGTGGTATACTGGAACTTGCTATAAAGACAGACAATAATCCAGCAGCTACAAATTTTGCCTACAGAATTGTTTAGAGATTCATGTAAAAATAAAAAGATGTCATCCCAGACTTAAATTCAGGAGCCACTAGGGGGCTGACATCAGTTCAAGAATTGTGCAAAATGAATGACAGTTCCCTGCCCCCCAAATAGAAAATGCAAACACTTAAGAGCTGCTGTTCTTTCCTCTTAAAATTGCAGTATCCTCACTTTAGGTTTAATTGCCACATATGGAATCTGACTGCTTTTAAAATGTCACTAAAAATGTACATCAAGTTGACTGACTTTCCCAAGAGTTGAAATGATGTTTCAATGTTCACACTTACGCTAAAAGTCAACTAGAGACACTCAAATAACTGACTTCTTTCTTCCCTCTCCATTCCAAACACACAAGACTCCCTCCCACAAAGAACACAAAAGTTGTTAACTGAAAAACAAGATAAATAATAAGCGTCCATTTTACTGATTTTAAAGATACTGCAATTTTTATACACTTCAATGATTTTTCAACATTTTGCAGCTGTTTGGCTTTGCAGCACAGCAATTCATAAACTATACTGTACAAAATTACCAGCAAGACTGGAATGATGTATTAATAGAAGGCACCATCATGCTTATTACATTACCAGAGAACAAAAATACAGGAAAGACAATTTCCACTGTACACAGCTTAAAGAAAGGAAAAGGGAGGAGGAGTGTTGTGTTGAGCAGCCAGCCATCCCTGTACTGAAGAGGGGCAGGTAGAAAACTCTTATGGAGCTACTAAATCTGGTCTAATATTCAAGACCATAACATTTGAAGTTCTGATTTGTTATTTAGTTCACAACTAAATGATTTCCTTCTGGAATATTTCTGTAGTCTTGTTAAGGTTTAAGAGTACACACGCTGGTCACAGCAAGCAGATAAAATGCCCTCATTCACAAACTATTCTCTACTGGAAAAAAGATGAAAGATTTTTTTTCCCTGTTGCCTCCTGTTGCAGATGTCAATATTAATGAGTTCAGAGTACCCAATAGTGCATTTTGATGAGTGCATAATAAGTTTCTGTTGGTTTGTATTTTTGGGGGGAGCCAAGAAAAAAGGCAAGATTCTCCAATTGCACAAATTGCACTATTTGTGTTTCCAACATTAATAGGCAGAAACAGTAACACTTAAACAAAATGTGCAGCAGAAGATTTTTTTTTTTTTGACTCAAAGGACCTGAATTCAGTGGGCATGTCCTTTTAAGTTCATTTTGTTGTAGATAGTTTTAAGATATGGTCATTTCTCAGTCCTTAATTCTCCAAGTCTAGATTTATAAATTAACAATGTAAATCCTGTTGTGAAATTGGGGAAATAATGTCCACCTCAATTTAACTGAACCAAAGATGCTTTTCACATCAAAGAAATGATCAAAAAGGCTGTGTCACATTCCAAAGCCAAAAAAATTAACAAGAATGCAAACACGATGAATAATGTACCACTGCCAAGACTTTGCCAACAGTGGAGCTTCAGCGACGCTGTCCTGTGAAACGGCCTTCCATCTGCCCGGTTCCTCTCCCAGAGCCAAGTTTCTGCGCCATGCCGCCTCTTGGAGGAGGTCCTCTTCCATCGCGGTCCCGCATCATTCCACCACCCACAATTCCACGTGGACCACCAGGACCTCGGTCGTTGCGCCTAATATCTCTGCGATCGTCACCACCACCTCTGGTTTCTCGCTCTCTTGCAGCTCTCGTTTTCTTCTCTTCCACATTTAAACGGACCTCCCCTCGAAACATAATCGGCTTTAAAAGAGGAGAAAAATATTGACATGGGAGGTTAGTATAGTTATTACTCTGCATAAATAAATTAGAACATATTAAGAAATAAAAAAAACTTTCATGAACATATGCAGTATTTCCAAACTTCTTCAGCAGAGCAAATAAAATTAAAAATATCCACACCTCAGATTTAATATTATTGACAAATCTTTATTCTTTGCATAAATACCATTTCACAATAAACTATTTTTAGCTTTATCATTAAAAAAGATTTCTATTGTTTTAAATGTGCCAAGTTAATAGTTTCTGCAACAGAAATAAGAAAATCTTGACTTATACCCTTTAAATCACTTACTTTTGCAATTAAGATTCTCTGAACTGGTTCAGAGTCATCAAAAACCACAAAACCAAAATTTGGAAGCTTTCCCCCAACACCCTTGGTATTGATGCGAAGTTCCACAACGTTTCCAAAACCTGTGAAAATATACATTACACCAAGGGTTAAATATTTTAACAGAATACTCTGCTGGCTGCAATTGTTGAGGTTGATTTGTTTGAAAATAAAAGTTGCAAGCTGCTATACCCAGTGACAACTAAGGTAACATTCACTTATGTTAAGCCATCACCTTAGATACCAAACAGCTGACTGACCTGGTCTCTTATTTATGTCTCTTTCATCATTACTAGCCTTTTCATTTAAAAAGTTACTGATAAAGCTTTAGAAAGACAATGTGTTTTCTCATAATTCTGACTTGTAGTTGGCAAATTTAAGACTCAATTAGTCAGGCTTTTCTTCTCCTAATCAACACTAATCAGTCACTGGGAAACATTAGCTATAGTAAATTTATTTCCTTCTGACCAATTAAGGTGAGACTGGTAGTGGAATACAGAATATAGAGAAAACCATTTTTAAAAAACTGATTATAAAAAAGGTCTCCCTGCTTGATTTTATTCTTATATTTTAACTTAGAACTTTACTTAAAAGCAAAATAAACCACTTACTCATAAAGAACTCTTTTAGTTCATTTTCATCAATATCATGTGGCAAGTTACCAACAAAAAGTTGATGACTATCTGGATAGCGAATTATTCTACGGTTGTCAGAGTCATTCTGCTCCATATCTCCTCTGCCTGGGAATAGGAATAGATTTTAAAAATTTATATAAAAAACAGTTCAAAGCAATAAATGTAAAAGAAATCACTTAATACTGGTATTCTTGTTTGATTCTAATAAAACCAGATGAGCTTCTTCAAGAGGTGGCAGTGTCTATTATTAGTAGGTTAGTCAGAAAATAACATGATACTATATTGTAAAATGGGAATACTGACTAGAACTGATAAAGTGCCTTCAGGTAGACTACTGGTCTGATTTCAAAAAAGTCAAATAATATTAGAAGTACAAATATTCTTCCTTAACCAAACTATTGCCATCACCCAAATATCAAGCCTACTTGAGATAGGTATAGTTCTATTAAATATTTGTTTAATCTTTTAATTCAAAAATTAAATCTTTCTATGACATTGCAGTCAAATCAGTAAATTTTAATAGTACCAATCTCATTTACATAGTCTTTTTTATGTATTATTCTCATCTATAAATCTTATTTGATTGTCCCAATATACAAGCAGCACAATGAGTTGTATAAGACAGTAATGTATTACTCACACAAAAATGTTTGTAAATAACTAATTAGTATTAAAGAAAGCTCAGAATTTAAGCTCTCACTCAATACCATAAACAAAACCAGTAGCAAAGCCAGGATAAATCCTCAGCTTCTGTGACTTCTGATTTAGTCACAAAAAAAACTTATTTAAAAATTTTTTTGAAAAATAATATTCTAAATTTGAATATACGATCTCCTGCCTCCTCCCAAAAGCAATCTAAACATTTGTATAGAATTCAAATAAAGGTACTACATGTATTATATTAGCTAGCAATGTAAACAAGTCAAAAATCATAGCAACTTACTTAATACCTAAGACAATCAAAATAAGAAGAATCAGGGTGTGCTTAGTGTTTATCTGTGAAGAGATAAGAGTGCTAAGTAAGAGTAGGCTATTGGCAGCTAGGTTTTGAATTCTTAAAACCAGTGACAATAACCAAATAAATAAAAGTGTCTCAAGTTTAGTGGTATAAAATATCTCCAAAATACATGACTCTATGGCATATCATCAAATAAATGCTCTCTTTTAAAAAAGTTGGCTTTTCTGCCCCAAGCTGTATTTTAACAGGTTGTTCACATCTTTAAGCAATTTGATACAAAGATTTGTGTATAAAACCCATTATGGTTTTACAAAAATTCAGTCTTTTCCAACTTTCCAAGAACTAAATGCTAAAGGCTATAAAAAAGCTGACTCACCAGGTCTTGGTCCTCTGGGAGGAAAACCAGGTCGTTCCCTAGGTCGTTGTTCACGCACACGTGGTGGTTGAGATTGAACTTCTGGTTTAGCTTCAACTCTTGGCTAAAATATAAGGGGAAAAAAACATACTATAAAGAAACACATTCTATAGGAAAAAAAAAAACAACTAAAGCAACTATCAGCAAGTCACAAACAGAGATAATGGTAATTTCAAAGTTTACAATGTTTTTAACAGAGTGTCCTATGTATGTGAAAAATAAAATCTTTAAAGATAAATTCTGTACCAATCTAGGACTGTAGGTAGGTTTTAGTTTCCCACTCAAGGATGTATAACTCTCAAATTTTATAATCTTCTTCATTAAAGTTATACCCACATTGACACAGCATAAAGATACTGCTAAAAAAATTTAAAAAAAAAATCACAAAAATGCAAGATGAGCCCACTCCATGTAAATGCATAAACAAAAATAAAAGTTATCTTATCTTAGAAAGACACGAATATAAGACACATTATTTCTAAATATCTAGTTTGCTGGCCTTCAGATGTTACAGTGCTCAACTGTATCTCCTAACTCCCACCCCATTAAAATCAATACTTGAATAGTTCCAAGTATATAATTTAGCTTACTCTAGCACTCAAAACTGCTACTTCTAGGTTTAAATGCACAATGAATGATAAGAACTTCTATGTAGCATCTCAAAGTCAAAGAAGTCCTTTAAGCTCCTTACTATTCTTCCTTTTGATTAACATGTACACATTTTTTTTTTTTTAAAAAAGCATTGACCCAAACAATTTTGCTTAACTGTAGTTGGTAGGGAGTAGGGATAGAATAATTTAAGGTAGTCTCCAAAAGTTTCTGCTAATTGCTTAATTAAACACATTAAGTGACTTTTTAAAACAAAATATCATGCACATCTGCTATTACATTTTCCTTAATACAACAAAATTTTCAGAATTCCCAACCCATCCAGGCTTTCTATCATTGCCCAAATATTTATGATCCATGGAAGAGGCAAAATATATAAATCTTCAAAGGATGCTGAAAATACCCAGCAGGATATTCAGAACACATCCTCAAAGTTGAAAGCTAGTAATTTCAGTCTCATCTTTGTAAGTGATCATCTCTGAGGACCTCAACCCAAGCAACGGCTTAAACTCTTTTACCACTAATATAACTGGGAAAATAAAATTTGTGAAAATAAATTTGGAGACAAAAAATTATACTTCTTTCAAATATGACCATTTATATTGCCAATGATTTCACTGTAACCAAAAGATATATTAACTGATATGCTAGCAGTTTTTAACATATCTGCTCTCTTCCAAATTGTTTCCTCCATATAGCTATGCCATTTTCCTCAAGATGAAATTGTTCCATGTTCTAGAATTCTATTTTAAAAATTAATTTTAAATCTCTCCAGTTTTTTATTTGTATGTATTCATTCCTATAAATATTATACATGTTAATTCATTTTCATATCACACAAAGAACCAAGCACAGCGCTGTTAGACACAGACGTTCAACCACTATTGGTTCATTTAAAAGTAAACTTTATCTTCAGTTTTCTGACCCAAAACACATAGGAGAATGTTCTATGTCTAACAATAGGATCTTAGCCCTGAGATCACTGATGTCTGTATTTGGAAATTTTTACTAAAAAACTGATCCAAAATGTAATGCCTAATAAAGCAGTTATATTTAGAAATTTCAACTAAGGGAGTCTAAGATGCATACCTTCAGTCTGAATGTATAACAAAATTAAAGAATAGATTTGTTCTGTTCAAAGTTTAACGAAGCCAGTATATTGCTAGAAATAAAAATAGCAAATGTACCTTGTATTTAAAATTTCCAGAAAAACCATAGACACATCCATCCAAATGTTATCAAAGAACTTGAGGCACTAACCTTGACAAATTTAAGTTCTTTTCAAAACATGACCAAACAAAGTAACTACAGGTAGCAAAATAAGGCTCCAGATAAATTTAAATAATTTCCAACATCTTAAAAATAATTCACAACATTGATTTAGCAAGCTGACCTACTTCAGCAAGTAAATATTTGATGATACCAATGCATGAAAAATATGAGACCAAAAAGCTAACAATGTTCCTTTCAATATCTGATTAACAAAACCTAAGCCAACTGTACATTTATAATTCTTGGGGACCAATAATTGAAGCTAATTATTCCAAACAGATAAAATGGCTAATATCCCACATACTACAACTAGGATCTTACAATTAATTTCATGTAACAAGAAAGTCTGATCATGTAACAAATCCTACAAATAAATGTCAAACAGAATATGAAATAAAAATGGAACCATCAAATCAAGTCAGTAAAAGCAATTACAAACACAACTAATAAACAAGTCGTCTAGTTAACCATAAGCTATTTAGATGACCTAGGCATTTCTACACAAAACCATTTTACCAAAAAATTAACTTACCTACTTCTAAATTAATGCCTACCAATAAACTAGAATTAGAATTAATTTCATCATTTAATCAATTAGAGTATAAAGAAATGAATACTACGTCAAAATAAAAAAAAATTGAAAAGTTATTAAACTTAGTGGAAATATAATTTATTCTAAATAGAGTGTGAACAGATAAGAAAGTACTTTTAAAGTTTAAATTTTAAACACTTAAAAATTTCTTTTTAAAATTCTAAGATTAAACAGTGTGAACCATTTACAGACTGAGTTTAGCCAATATATGTTAAAAAAAGTTCTCTATTTTTAAAAAACAATAATTCTTTATAATGCCACACCTATTTTGTGCCTTTCCAAATTTTCTTACCTAAAGTATTTTTGCAAAATAAAATTTAAAAATTTTAAAAGGAACTTTTTTAAAAATTATTTTAAGAAGCCTTTTAAATGACAATATTATATATTGGTAAAACCAATACAACCTAGTTTCCTAGAATCTGAAAAATAACTCTGAAAAATACTTGCAACTTAAATTATTTAAGATAATGTGAACAGTTACTTGTCTGGGCAAAAGGCAAGAATATAATGCAGTTTTAGCATGTCTTAAATATAGAAATCTTCTTTGATATAAACACAAATACAGTATCCTTCAACAAATTTCTAAAGAAATGTGTAGGTGTGCATAAGTCACATATGGAATCTAATGTTCAACTACATAAATCAAGACTCAATTCTACTATTTTAATTGTATTCTAGGCCTCGATTTTCTTATTTCTAAACTAGGAGAAATATTGTACCTGCTCTCACAGGATGAATGTAAGGATTCAATGAGAATAAATATGAAGTGCTTAGCACAACGCCAAGTACAAATGAAAGGTACAATAAGCATTAATTAACTTTTAACTATTTTAAATAAATGTAACCAAATCTATGAAATGAAATAACCATCCAAAGGTTCCAAATCCAAATCTGATAGGAAATTAAGATTTTAAAAGAAAAGCCACAAGTCACTTATCAGGTCTGAAACAGTTGAAAAGCATAAACTATACTGGGCAAACTCATTTTCTTCATTCAGATAGAGTCTGGTTTGTGATCTATGGTAACCGTTTATTTCCTGAATATTCTAACTAAAAAAGGGGTAGGGGTATTATGCACTGTGTATTCTATTACATAACAGATTAAAATGTTATAATGTATACCAATACCAGAAAGACTGCCTAATAATGACTAGCTACTTTTGAAACCTCAAAGTTTTACTGTTTGTTATCTTAGATGTAAATCTAGTGGAATGACATTTACTCAAAATGTGGGGAAAAAAAGAATTGGACACCTTTTAACTATGCCAATGAATTTAAAAATAAAAGTTAGCTAATCTAAACTATATCTAACAAACATCATAAATAGCCAATGTTTTTATTTTCGCATTTTTGGAAAGCTCTGAAATGGGTAAAATGACAAACAGACAAAAAGCAGAATACTGGAATGATCAATCAGTTAAGGTGAACACTACAGTCATAAGTTGGTACAGGCTTCAATTAAACAGTGTGAACCACTTACAGACTGAGAGTTTAGGTAATGTATATTAAAAAAAGTTCTCTATTTTTTAAAAACAATAATTCTTTATAATGCCACACTACTTTGTGCCTTTCCAAATTTCTTAACTATTTTACAAAATAAAATTTAAAATTTTTAAAAGGAACTTTTTATTATTTTAAGAAGCCTTTTAAATGACAATATAATATATTGGTAAAACCAACTTAATCTGTATTTCACACACCCAAACCCCAAATACCACCTATGTAGATGATGAATGGAGATTTGGCATTTAAAGTGGGTGTACTGACATTTAATACAATATTTTTGTATATTTAATCCATAATTGCTGATTGACTTGTTTAAAAAAGTATATATATAAATATATATATATATAAAAAAAGTAAGCAATTGGCAATGTAACAAGGATACAATCCAATGTGTTCACAGATCGGTTACCTGTGAGACTGGTGCTTTAACATGGGGTGGAATTCCAGAGGAAGAAACAGTACCACTAGGAGGCAGGTTTTTACTGGTCACTGAAGCCCAGGAGAAAGCCTGCAGGAAATGCAACAAACCTAGACTACTAATCATGGAAAACCACCAACATTCCTATAGGGAAACTTCCAAATATATATTTTCTTTTCATTTCTAAACTATTGCTTTATATTGGAGGATTCCTACAAGAAAGGCACACACACACATGCCAGTCTATGTGCCAGCTTTCAAAATCTCATTATGCATGATTATAAATGTTTTGTCTGAACTAAAACCACAATCAAGTTCCTACATATTCTAAGTAGATGAGCGAGTGGCCAACAAAATCACTAACAGCTAAACATGCTAGGAAATTTTGAACCTGGTAGGACAGATTTCTTTCCCCTTTTGGGGGAAAACAGGGTGTGTGATGGTGTTAAAGGGAAAGGGGGAAAGATAGGAAAGAATAAGAATACTAGTTGAAAACTTTAAAAGACATTCTCAAATTGACAAGAAATCTCTTCCTCTCACTACCCAAACAGTTTAACCTTCTACTTTACAGAGAGATAAAAGAAGTTTTACATGATACACTACTGGTGTTACTTATCTTTTCAAGACAGTTAATTGGTGTAGTAAGGAAACTGATCCCATTTAAACCACAAACAATAGGCATCTCTTTTAATTACAGACCAACTTAAGTTGGGAAACTGCACGATTCCTGGTGCATCTGTGCTTAGAGGATTTTATACAGAAAGGAAGAGCAACTGACAGCCTTATACATGGACTGGAATAATTTCATGTACATAACTAAACATTAAATACAGACAAAGACTAATCTGAAGTTATAAATTTCACTACTAGGGGTTTTATTGGGGGGGGAACCAATGCAACTTCTTCAGGATAACAAAAAACTCCACAGCTTCTTTCATATACATAAAAAATGTATAATTTACTATATATTAAATAATTTAACACAAAACAGTCATGCTTCATTAATGACACCAAATATATATGTGTAATGTTAGAGGTTGAAGAGTTTCTTTGATCTAACCTTTGGTGGTTCTTGTGGCAGAGAAACTGGTTCTGCAGGAGGAGGAGTAGTAGACTTCTCCTCTAATTCTTCTAAATTCTTTTCTTCCACCTGTGGTTTCAGCTCTTCAGTCTTTGTTTCAGATTCTGGCTCGGGTTCAGGGTCATGAGAGGATTCTTCCAAAGGTTCCTCTATGCCATTACTACAATAAAGTGTTTAGTTTACTCTTCAGTATAAAATGATCAGTTAAAATAACATTCAATGTCTCTCCAGTCCAAAGAACATAACTAGTTATAAGCCAATAACCTGTTCTATAAGAAGTTGGGTTTTTTGTTTTTGCAGTATTGGGGATCAAATCCAGGCCTCTCATATGCTAGGAATGCACTCTAGTACTAAGCTATATCTCTAGCTCAACCTAACAATTTTAAAACTTGATTAACCAAGAATATTTTTACAAAAGTACCAATATTTTATAAACCTTTTATTTTATATAATGTTTTACATAAAATAGAACGCTTACTCTGCGTTATCTTAAACATTCTGCATTAATAGTAAATCACCACCATTTTGATGCAAACATATTCAATTTAAGTGATACAATTCTGTCCAAATTTCTTGCACACACACAATAGAACTCATACTGGCCTACTAGGTAGTTTTATCAAAAATTTATTTCCAGGGGCTGAGGGTGAGACTTGGTGGTAGAGTGCATATTTAGTATGCACAAGGCCCTGGGTTTGATCCAAAGCACTCACTACTAAAAGAATTTAAAAATAAAATTTTTTTTTAAATTTTTTTAAACTTCCAACAACAATCCTAGAAACAAAAGCTACCTTGCAACTAGCCTGTAGTTCAAACCAAACGTAACCTTGCAAATACTATTCTTACGTCACAGGGTGAGCTTCATAGTAACCACTGTTAGCATTTTCTTGCACAGGTTCAGGAGATGGTTGTCTTTCTTCTTGTTCCTCTTCTACTTCATCTTCTGACTCTGACAATATATAATACATGACATTTTTTAAGAGGATTTATAAAATTTCTAATACATATTTTTTAATATGTTTAAGGAAGTGGAATACTAGTTTAGAATACAAATTTTTACAAAGCTATTCAATTTCAATATTTTTTCTTAAGAAACTTAAAAGAACAAGCAGGATAAAGTTTTTATTGTACTCTATTTTAACAAGACGTATTAATAAAAAAGGAACTAAAATACATAATTCAATTTCCTTGTGACCTCTACTTAATAAAGCAGTAATTATAGAGAAGGAAACAAACTAGTGTACACTAATGGAAGATCAATCACATAATTACAGTATTAGCCACAAAATGGACAGCCAACAAAAATATATTAGGTAAAGAGGGGAAAAAAAGCTTTTATCAGGGCTAGGGCTGGAGCTGGGGCTGAGTGGTAGAGCACTCGCCTAGCATGCGTGAAGCACTGGGTTCGATCCTCAGCACCACATAAAAATAAAATAATAAAATAAAAATACTGTGTCCACCTATAAGAAATAAACATTTTTTAAAGCTTTTATCATTTAACTCCATTTTTATAAAAGTGCTAGTAAGCATAGGATTAAAAAAAAAAAAAGTCTATACATAATAGGCACCAAACTTATGATTACCTAAATGGGATGACACTGATAAAAACTTTTCTGTTTGACAAAATTTCATAACAAACATCACTATCTTTCCTAACAAAAAACAAAGAGTGAAAGAGAAGAAAAGGAAGTTTAACTTAGTTACAGTAAAGGGCTAAATTTCTAAACATTTCATACTTAGAGAAATTAAAGAGTCCTTAAAAGCACTGGCAGAACCCTTTTATCGTCAAAGTAATCTCACCTTCGTCAAGTTCTGGTTCAGAATCACCAAATACTTCATCTTCATAGCGAAACATATCATTATGAACATAAAATTTATTTGGAACAGATCCCTACAGGTAAACAATGTACAAATACTCCATTAATATCCATGAATTCAATATTACTCATTGACATATACAATTTTAATACCAGAGAGAAAAATCTGAATTCATTATAATTTTCCAAAGCTAGACACACTATGATGTTAATCTAATATAAACTAAAACTCTTCTCAATAGAAGAGAATCAGGACCAATTAATAAATAGAACTTTTCCACCCCCACCCTCTCTGTGTAATCTTTGAAATACACAAATACAGGGATAGGGATCTAGTTCAATAGTAAAGCACTCGTCTAACATATGCAAGGTTCTGGGCTTGAGCCCTAGCACTGCAAAATAAATAAAATATACCAATATACTTTTCTATTATTTCTATATACTTAATCACCCATTTATATACTTGTATCAATCGGTACCTAACTTCTAATTCCATACATATAGTACAAGGACATACACAAATAAATTGTATTAACAGATCCAATAAAATTTCTCAAAAATACACAACTCTAAACCTATTAGAAGAAACTCTTGGACACATCAACCAATAATTAACAAATTAAATCATGTAAATGAAAACTAAGTGAAATGAAAACTTACTTCAGGAGCCAGAACAAAGGTCTGCATAAACTTCCTTTCTGGCTGTCCACTGTTAGACAGCAAACCCATGACCTGAACAACTACTCCATCACTCAAGGTTGCATGAGCATCCACATGACGAATCTTAGTATGACATTCACTGAAGTTCAGAGATAACACTTTGTGGTGTATATCCTTTATAAAGCAAAAGAGGGAAGGAAATACAAATTCTTGTGATTCTGCACTTCCTCAACAAAAATCATTACCTACCCATGATTTCCTCATACCTCCAAAACATTAACTACTTAATCTTTCTACTTCACTTGAATCCATTATACTATGCTACACACCAGTGCCAGACAGATGCTCCTAAAAAGACCATTTTCAATATTTCATCTCCCTATACAAGAAATCAGAACGCCTCTCAGATTTTGTACAGTAATCTGAGCTTGGTATACAGCTTTCTCCTACTTTTCTGTAAGTAGTAAATTTCACAATGTTGACTGCGCCTTGACATCGTATCTAATTTTACTTTATTGTCATATTTGCTGATGCACTTTTCTACTTCTAATTTCTTTGTGTTTGGTAAAGCTAAATCTTGGGAATCTAACTGAAGTCCCCCATCTCTTCAGTCTTCCTTCCCTACTAAGTCATAAAGAGAATATACTTCTGTGCATTCCTGAAAGAGGGTTCAATCTACATGTGTAGAAACTTACACTAGTTATTTCATGTACAATTATCAAGGTTATAAAACATCACATTTTCTTCACTGTATCCATCCCAAAGTCATACCATGTTTCAAACAAAATGGATGTATGTTTAAGAATTCCAAGCGCATTTGGTAATTACTGAAACTCATTCCAGGTACAACTAATAATTATAATGAAAAAGAAATCCTTTTGAGATCTATTAACACAAGAAGATGTTTAAAATTTATGTGAAATGACTTACATTTTGGCCATAAACAGCTTCCTGGGGCTTTCCACTAGCATCTACTCCACCATGAACATAGGAAGAATTCCGACCATAAAACCTATAAAAACAATAATTAAGAATTACTAATGAATTAAAAGGCAGTAGAGTTCTAGCATCAAATAGACTAGGCCCTAGGTCCAGCTGTCACTAGATGGGTAATCTTGGTCAAGTTACTTAATTTTCAATATTTAAATTCAATTTCATGTACAAACACATACATATATACATATGTATATTTTTGGTACTAGGGATTGAACACAGGGGTACTTAACCATTGAGCCACATCCCCAGTCCTTTTTAAAACTTTTTAAATTTTGAGACTAAGTCTTCCTAAATAGCTTAGTCCATCATTAAATTGCTAAGGCAGTCTTTGAACTTGCCATTCTCCTGCCTCAGGCTCCTGGGCCAGTAGGATTACAGGCTTGTGCCTGGTAGTTCCCTTAGCTACAAAACAGTAGAGTAGTTAACTACCTCCACAGAATGCCATAAGAATTGAATGCTTAGTATATCTGGCACACTAAGATGATAATCATTAGCTATTCTCTTCTAGTACTTATCACATCTTTATTTCAAGTGTAAGAATGAAATAGTCCAAGTACACTCTAAATACAAATGCTCTGGTAAAATTCATCTTCAGATAAAAAGACTCAGTTACCTAGATTTGTCTAGAAATCAGATGTTTCATTTAATACTCAGAGCTCCAAATGATTACTAACTCCAAAGGCTTCAATTAAAAGTTTAGATTTTAAATTAAAACAATTCAGACCAAGTAAAAAGTGTAATTACTTCAGCATCTAATTTCTCATTAATATTTTTATGTTGTTCCAAAGTAGATAATAAGTTAAGAATTTCTCTGGCATTACTTAAAGTAATTAGAATTAACATCTTTCTAAATTAATGTTATCAAAAATGTAAAGCTAATTTTTTCAGAGAATTCATCTCCATCATAATAAAACATGTAAGAAGTTTTTCTGTGCCAAGCAATATTCTCAGTGCATGGCATATATTGATTCATTTAATTCTCCTAACAATCTCATAAAATAAACACTATTATTTAAATGAGCAGACAGGTTCAGAAGAGATTGAATGAACTCCCCATATCATATACCCATCAAGAACCCAGATAGAATCTGACTCCAGAGTCCACACTTTTAAGCACTATCCTATATTTAAAAATTTACACTACTTTCTCTATGTACTACTATAAGCATGCAAAGTGGCATTATTTTTCTAAAGAAAAATTTGACAAGAGTATGTGTGTATGTGTAGGAAAAGCCTTAGAATCATACCTTTCAAGTAACAATTCCGGGAAATTATTTCTAAGAATATAACTTAACTAGTAAGGTGCACAAAAATGCATGGTTAAGGACATTTCTTAGTTTTGTTTATACCAGTAAAATATTTATAACAATCTTGATTTTAAGAGGGAAAGTGGTTAAATAAGCTGAGTATAAAACAGCAATCTATGCTGTTTCTTAACATGATGGTGAACATGATAATGTACAGTCCTACTGGTCTAAACTTTGCTTTTATTGTTTCTATAAGAGAAAATGCTAATATCCATATTATGAAAAGTCCTTATATTCCAGTTTCCTCCCAACTCTCTCACATACACTGTCTCACATTTTTATTTTTATAATTACAAAACAGGTTATTCACTTTGAGGTTGGGTGGAAGGGCAGCATGTTAATTATAACTTATATACAAGTAGTTGTAGATGAATTTCTAATCTCCTTACTAACCAGGAATGATCGGGAATTAATTATTAGCCTCAGTTGTTCAATCTGGAAAATGAGATAATAAAAGCACCTATACTTTTTTTTCTTTTTGTAAAAAGACTTCCATAAGGATTAAATATAATGATACACATATTTCAATACTTGGAAAGGAGCTCAACAAACATTATTTATAAAAATGCCCCTAGAAAGCAGAAATTATTACACATATATTCAACAGTGCAGGACAAATTATAAAAGCTAACTTTATAGAACACTTGATTAAGATGATCTACAGATGAAGGGCTGGAAATGTTGGTTCAGTGGCAGAACACTTGCATAGCATGTGTGAAGCTCTGGGACTGATCTTCAGCACCGCCAAAAGAGAGAGAGAGAGAAAGAGAGGGAGAGAGAAAGAGAGGGAGAGAGAAAGAGAGAAGGATAGATACATCGAGATCAACAGATGAACTTAAATCTTAACAGCCTTTTCCCAGGGGAAGAAAAAATGATATATTTCTCTTTAACTCACTTAGTGGGTTCTACAGCAAATACTTAACAAATCCTGATTCTTACAAGAATCTCACCTTCTACTTGCTAAGATATAACCAGAACAAAATAAGAACAACCCACAACATAAATCAATTTCATTTCAGTCTCTGGAAAAATTAGCTTACAGCTGGCCTAACTCTTGCCAAAATAGTAAACAAGGCTACTATTATTTTACCAAGGAACACTATTTTGTAGATTCAAATACAAATTTTCATTAAGAATATTACTGATTAATTTCCCGAGACTGTAAAAGCTCAAAGATGCCTTAAGACATTATTTCTAATTTCATATTGGAACCCATTAGTCGGTCATGTCCCACATTACTCTTTTAATGAAATATAAAATGCAAGAGTATACAAAAAAGTATGTGTATGCATATATACATATACATATATACACATACATACATATATATATGTGTATATATATATATATATGAATGTACTAAGTACTGGATATAATGTGTTTTTGTTACTGTGGACTATAGTAAAAAACTTTAGAAAAAATACATGAGTATTACATGATAAAAAGTAATAGATATGGCTTAAAGATGTTTATAAAGATACTGTTAAATTATGAGGAGTCAGGAAAGTTAAAATATATGTAGTAATAAAAAAACTAATAAAAACACTAAATAATTTGTTTAAAATTTACCTGTGTAAATATTCTGGAGCTTTATTCAGCAAAGTATAATATTGCCTCACAAACTCCCGCCCTACAAGCAGCGGACTGGGCTTCTCCATAACCATTTCTTTGCTGCACAATGTCAAATGCTGAGGGAGCAAACACAAGAATAATTAACTATTAAAAAATCATCTTTGTAAACTACCATGAAATACATTTTCTTACCACTGAGCTACATCACCATCCCTTTTTTTTTTTTTTTTTTTTGAGACAGGGCCTCGCTAAGTTGCTGGAGCTGGCCTCAAACTTGCAATCCTATGAAATGTTTTTTTAAGACATAAAAATGGGAATAAAGAAAATTAACATTATTCATTAAAACTTAACTTACAACAAAAGTCCTAGTGGCACACACCTGTAATGCCAGCTACTTGAGAGGCTAAGGCAGGAGAATCAAAAGTTGGCAGCCAGCATGGCTAACAAAGGAGACCCTGTCTCTCCTCCCCCTCAAAATGAAGGGTGTTGGGGATGTAGATTCATGGAAAACCAAGTGTCTAGCATGGTGAACCCCTGCATTCAATTCCCAGTACAAAAAATTTTTTTTCACAATAAAACAATAATTTCCAGTCTTGAAAGTTTCCATCTTCTTTTATCCCTTCTTGATTTCCCTAACCCTTAGTATAGGAGGAAGAAATTCCAAGAAGAATTAGCACAAAATAGACACAACTTCTCATCATTTATGCTTATAGCACACAGAACAACCGAAATTATAACATTAGTAACTGAGGAGGAGAGAGGCAAAAATATATGCAAACCTGAGTATGACTTGTTTTTCAAAAAAACATGTAATTGGGATGCCGGTGCAGCTCATTAGTAGAATGAGTGCTTTGTATAGATAAGGTCCTGGGTTCAATCATAAATACAAGTTATTTACACATCAAGCATCCTTTTTCACTATACTTCAAATCACTTGAACAATAATCAGTAATTATCTTTTGGGTAAATAAAAATGCAGCTTAAATTCCTATTTTAACAAATTTGAACACTTTAAACAATTAAAAACTTTCATAGCGAAAAACAGCCTACAATAGTCATGACAATATGATGCCGTTTTCATAAAAGTCAGGTATTGATTATGATAAAACATAGATAAGACTGTAGCACTACACAATTCTAGCAACTTCCAACTCAGCTTTACATCATGTTCTATTGGGTTCCTCCCTTCTCCCTTTGCAATTGTCCTGAAATTTTCAAACTTGATGTACAAAAATACCCAAATATATTTAAATGTATTTATAATGCCCAATTTACTTTCAGAAATAGTAAATTCACAAAGCCATGTCCAAATATAGCCCTTTTGAGTGCCACTTATTTTCTCCAAACTTAAAACTTCCAATAAGGTAGTTAGACTAACTACCCTTAATACATAAAAGGACTGTCACTTCCTACATTTAAATAATAGATGATCATGATAACTACTCATCATGTACAATTACAAGAATAGGAACTTAAAAATGAGGTAGCAAAGCTGGGATGAGAATGCAACTCAGTGGTAGAGTACTTTCTTAGCATGTACAGGCCTTGGATAGATTCCCAGCACCACTAGAAATAAAACAAAACACAGTAGCAAAACTAAGCAACTTAGTATTTTTATTTCAAATAATGGGAGATAAAAAAAAAGTAGAGCTACCTAGAAAGGTTTTATAATTAAAATGGAAAATTTATGCAATTTTAATATTGTCACAATGGATGTTAAAATAATAAAGTGCTGGGTATCCTATGCCTACAACCCCAGCAGCTTAGAAGGCTCAAGACCAGCCTCAGCAAATAAGCAATGCCCTAAGCAACTTAGTGAGATCCTGTCTCAAAATAAAAAATAAGGGCTAGAAATGTAGCTCAGTGGCAAAGTAGCCTGTGTTAAATACCTGGGTGGGGGAGGGGATATAGAATAAAATACCCCTGGATAATACAATTATGTACAAAACTTTCTTCAAACTGTGACAGAAATGCTATTAGGGAGCTGAGGATGTAGCTCAGTGTAAAGAACTTGCCCTGGGTTCAATCCCAGTACAGCAAAAGGAGGGAGAAAGAGGGAGGAGAAGGGAGGGATGGAGAGAGGGAACAGGGAGACAGAGAGAGACAGAGAGAGAGAGAGAGAAGGAAATAAAGAAATGTAAAGAAATGCCATTAGAGATCATTTCTGGATTTTGGGTAATTTCCACATCTTGTATAGTAACACCTGTTTTTATCTCAAATTTCATCATATCCATAAAATAAATATTTCACCGACCATTTTTATCTTTACATATTTGGTTCTTTCTCAAAATAAAAAGTTGCCAAATACACATATCAAAGATAAGACAAAATACTTTTAAGATTCATTGTAAAAAAGTTCAAGAGAGGCTTCAAATTGCTCACTATATATAAAGTCACTGAAGTATACTGGTCATAATAGTATCAACTGAAATCAAAAGTGAAGAAGAGATAACCAATACTCAATTTATCATTATTCAGTAAGTTATTATTTAGCATAACTTATTTAAAGGAGGAAAGAGGAAACATTAAAAATGAAACTCAAATGGTGAATGAGATAACGTATAAAATGGGTTATGTATAGTCTACTATTTGTTTTAAAGTGAGGAAGAAGCTCCCACAGAGGATGATGGTAAGACAAAACGAAGATGTTACTAAGAAAGTGTTTCAATACAATACTTACAGATCAGGTCTTTACCACTCTTACTTAAAATGACTCAATTCAGAAAGCCAAGATATAATTAATTGATGGAAATCAAGCAGAAAGTGAAGGTACTAGAGAAAAGAAAGAAAAAACTCTACTACTTATTTATGGACTAATACATGTGTACATGTGTCCTTCATGAGCAACTGCCATTTTACCCACTTTCCATTTCTCTGCCCATCTTCCAATTTTCTCCCCTTGAGAAGGGAGATTAGTTCAACAAATAAGGAATGGCATCAAAAAAGTATTTGGTATAGATTATAGATGAGCCACAGAACAAGTAGTTTGAATAGGTGGGGAAAATATATTGATATTACATAATTTTGTAACGCATACATAACCAGTGCATATAAGGAAAAAAAAAGCCAAATTACACTCAGAATAAAATGTGATTACAAATAAAAAGAATAGTGTGCTTTTTATTCTTCATAGCTATGTAACCCAACTAACTGATAAATGATTATTGGATTTGGATGTTTCTTTTTTCTTTTTAAAGTCATCAAAATAAAGTTCAGAACACAAGAGTGAGAAAACAACGTATCTATGATCATGAAAAAGTCTCAACCTTCCTGAATCTCAATTTCCTAAAATAAAAATTGAGAAGAAATCTCTGGTCAACCCTAGAAGACCTCACACAGTATAAAAACAATCTTAGCATCTCTTCCATTGGATTAGAATGGCTTTCTCATAGTTTATTTTAGAAAGATGTTCAATATACTAAAGCAAACCAAAAAAAAAAAAAAAACAAAAAAAACAATCTTAGAGGTTGCTCTTGCACCTTTAAAGATAAGAGCAATTATCACCACTGCTTTACAGAAAGTGACATTTCATGTATTAAACCCCATTTCTTGCAATGACACCTGAAAACAAGGAGATTGCACTGTGTAGTAAGATACAATATAAAATTTATCCTGGCTCTGGATACACAAATCTTTTGTGAATTAAAAACATTAGCAATACTATTTATTTATACAGATCCTAAGATGCTTATATCCAGCTTCATTTCACTTTACAGAGCCTGGAATACCTTTTAGAGACTAAGGTCATTCTATTCTTCTACTCTGCCTACCCTACTTCAAGTCCCTGTGAATTTTTAATCAACATTCCTTTTATTTATTACAGTTTCTTAAAATTTTTCCTTTCCATTTGCCTAGACTTAATTCCTGAAGCACATCTACTCCAGCTCTCATAAGAAACTGCTCAAAAAACAATTGTCACCCATTCTTTATGAATCTCTCAATAATAAACATTGAGTGTGTCAATAATACACATTGAGAGGTGGTAAAGGAAGAAATAAGAAACACAAATAAGACCCCCCAAAAAAGTCACACTAGGCTTTAGATTCTACATAATATATTCATCTCCTCAACTTCAAAATAACTTTTTTTTTTTTAAAACTGGGTATCATGGCACACAATTATAATCCCTATTTGGGTGGCCAAGGCAAAATCCTAAGTTTGAATCAGCCTGGGCAACTTAGGCAAGACAGTTTCTCAAAGTAATAAAAATGACTATGGATGTAGCTCAGTAGTAGAGTGCTTGCCTAGTATGAGGCAGGCCCTGAGTTCAATTCCCAGTACCACTAAGAAACAAGAACAACAAAAACAATGAAGCCCACCCCCCACCCACATACAAAAAAAGAAAAAAAAAAGGCTTTTCCTGCTAATGAAAACTTCAACTTTTAGGCAATAAATATAGAGCTTATTTAAATTTACTTTTGAAACTGAGAATAAAGGAAGTTTAGTAAATCAATAATATAATGGGGCTGCCTCCAAGTTAAACAATCTCGGGTTATGTTAAGACACAAAGTCTAAAATGAGGTGACAGTTCTGAGATAAATACAAATTACAGGAAGGTAGATTTGGATTCAATATAATGCAAGAATAACCAGTTATTCAAATGTCCAACAGCTACTTCATAAATAGACAGTCACTCTAAGTTTTCCAGACATTAACTGAACAAGTTAGCAGAAATATAGTAAAGGGACCCAAAAGAGTAAGATTAGGTTTTTCCAACACCAAGATTCTAGAAGTCTGTTAAAAAGAATTGGACTTTTGCCTAATCAGCTACAGTTATTCAATATCTTCCTACCTATAATGATTGAAACACTCTGCATTCATCTGGACCCAGTTAAAATATTGTCCTCCTGAAAATCTTCCACAATTCAACAGACTATAACTCTTTCCTCTAATTTTCAAAGTTCTTTTGGCATTTATCATGGAAATTTATTAATCATATTCTGTCCTAAGTTACCAACTGTGCAACTAACTATATATAATCTTCTCCATTTCCCTCTCAAATATTATAACTTAGCTCTTCCTGAATGCAATTCTCTGGAATTTCACGATTCTTTGCAACCATCCTATGACTTCTGCAAATCCTCCACCTGTCTGAATTATCACAGTAGGCCACTTC